GTAGCCCACGAAAGCTTATGCTCAAATAAATTAGTTAGTCTCTAAGGCTAGGTCTACACTGGGGGGGGATCGATTTAAGATACGCAAATCCAGCTACGTGAATAGCGTAGCTGAATTCGACGTATCCTATTCGACTTACCCTGCTGTGAGGACAGCAGCAAATCGACCGCTGCAGCTCTCCCGTTGACGCCACTTACTCCTCCTGACGAGGTGGGAGTACGCGCGTTGATTCGGGGATCGATTTCTCCGTCTAGATGAAACGTGATAAATCAATCCCCGAGAGATCGATTTCTACCCGCCGATCTGGGCGGGTAGTGTAGACTAGCCCTAAGGTGCCACAAGTACTCCTGTTCTTTTTGAAAATGTTTGTACACATTTGTAACTTTATACATGAGTCATTCTGTAAGGCAGTGGGTTCACTCGTGTACATAAAGTTAAGAATATTCATGTGTTTTCAGGATTGGTGGCCCCTGCATCTGTGGCTGATTTTTTGTTTGTTTGTTTTTTTGTTTTTTTTTGTTCCCCCCTTCACACCACTACTGTGCAGTACATTATGCACTGGTGGGGTTTTACCCATTGCCCCACTGGTTACTGTGTTTTACCTGTGCTGTAGATAGTTTGTGAAATGCTGAGCCTACAGGATGTGAGAGGTAAGGCCCCCCCTCCCAAATGTTATTTTGAACAAAAGGATAAACTATATCTATCTGTCTCTTTCAATAACAAGTTCTTAAGCTGAAAATGCATCTCCTTACAAATATATTGAAGAAACTTCACAACCGGCTGCTCAAGATACGATCTTTTTCAAAGTAGGATAGAATTACAGCGATTGCCATTAAAAAGTCAGTTTCAACTACTATCATATACTGTTCTTAAAATCAGGGCTTTTCTACGGAGGGCAAAAATATGTTGGGTGGTTGTGGCTGGCCTTATTTCACAAACGATATACAATAAATTACAGCACTGTTAGTTAGAGAGAGATCAGTACAGTTGTTCCTAGTGCACAGGATGACTGACTGCAGCTGGGGGCTTGCATGTAGGGTTAGCCACTGTCCGGGAGGGAAGTGACAGAGGGGTGGA